ACTAATTATTTCCATGAATTTTGGTTTTCTTCATTCTTCTTTGCTCTGGAGGAGGAGAGACCCATCATTGCATCTAGATGGCAGCTTGATAAGCCATTCTCACTTTTAAGAAACATTCTAGTTTTATGTCTTCCAAGACACATTTGTTCATTCTTCTGGCAGTCCATGGTATTTTTAGTATTGTTCGCCAACACCACAATTCAATGGCACTGATTCTTCTTTGGTCTTCCTTATTTATTGTCCAGGTTTCACATACATATGAAGCTATAGAAAATAACATGGCTTGGATCAGGGGCACCTTATTCTTCCAAGTGACATCTTTGCTCTTTAACACTCCTGTAGCTGATTGTTACAATATGTTGTTTGATTCCTTTACTGATGCTTCCATGGGCTTTGATTGTAGATCCAATTAAAATGAAACTGACCGATGAGTGGTGACAATGAACATGGGTGTGCATATATCTACTCATGTCCTTATTTCTCTAGGATATATAGCTGGTAGTAAGATTGCTGGTTCAAAATCATTTTTCTATTTCTGACATTTTAAGGAAGCACCATGCCATTTTCTACAGTGTTTGTACCATTTTACAGTCCCACCAGCAGTGTGTGAATGTTGCAATCTTTCAACACCCTCACCCACATTTGTTGCTTTCTGTCTTGAACTTTGGTATTGTAGCTCTGCTGAGATGACATCTCGTTCTTTTTATTTGCATCTATCTAATTGCTAATTATCAGAATTTCTTTATGGACTTCTGAATGGCTTTTTTGCTGAAAGTGTCTGTTCATGACCTCTACTCATTTTTTAATTGGGGTGTTTGCCTTTTTGTTGTTTAGGTGTTGAAGTTTTCTATAAATTTTGGAGATCATCCTCTGTAAGATATGTCATTGTCAAATTTATTTCTTAATCTGTGGGTTCCCTTTTCACTCATTTGAAGAAGCCTTCTGATGCACATAAGTATTTAATATTTAGGAGGGCTCAGTGGTCTAGTTTATCTTCAGTTGTTTTTACATTTGTGGCTACGTTCGATAGACTATTCATGTCATAAATTAGTGGTTTGCCTGAGTTTGCCCCTATATTTTCTCTGATGATCTTTATAGTTTTACGTTTTACATTTAGATCTTTGATCCATCTTGAGTTAGTTTTTGTATATGGTGTGAGTTGTGGATCTTTTTTTTTGCAAATGGATAACTATTTTTTCTAGTACTATTTGTTGAAGAGACTGTCTCTTCCCCATTTATTGGACTTGGCCTTTTGTCAAAAATTAGCTGTCCAGGATAACTCTTCTTATCCAATATTAAACTTATTATAATGCCACAGTAATAAATATTTGATGATGTTGGTGAAAATTTAGCCAAATAGACCAAGGAAACAGAAGAGAAGGCTCAAGAAGAAACTGAATTGTTTGAGAAATTGGATGTAGTTCTTGCCATTAACTGTGGGAAGAACACATTGGGTGGCAGATATTGGCAATCTAGGTTTTCACTGTCAAAGTACCTTAAAATAAAGCCTTTACTCAATAACTAATTCCCAAACCACTTGCACAGTTTTAGGTATTTGTTGCAGCAGCCCCCCACTTCCTCATATCAAGCTCATAGTTTCCCAGTTAGCCTTAAAAAAAAATACCATAAAACAGGTTACTTTAAGTAATTGAAATTTATTTATACACATTTCATGAATCTAGAAGTTGAAATCAGAGTGTCATTCATGATAATTCCTTCTCTGGATTTTGAGAGAGGAGTTGTTCACCTTTCCTAGTTTCTTGTTCTTCTAGTAACCTTTGATGTTCCTTTGCTGCTTACAGTTCCATCTTCATATGGTATCTTCCTCTTGAGCATGTCTGTGTGTCTGTCACCCTTGTTTCTTGTGAGACACCACTTGTCTGTATAACTTAACTGACATCATCTTCATAGAGAGACTTTATTTCTCCAAATAAACAAAAACCCATTACTATCAAGTTCATTTAAATTCATATTGGTCTTATTGGACAAAGTAGAACTGCCCCATAGGCTTTCCAAGGCTTTAATCATTATGAAAACAGACTGCCACATTTTTCTCCCATGTAGTTGCTGGTAGCTTTGAACTGCCATGCTTTTGGTTGGCAGCTGAGTGCATAACCAATTCACTAGCAGGCAGGGCTTCTTATTGACAGGTACTAGGGTTAAGATTTCAAATCATCTTTTTGGAGAACACAATTCAATTCATAACACTATGGTACATTAATAACATGGAAAGCTATTTAGTAATAAAAATCAAAATGCTATTGGTATAAGCCATGTTATTGATAAATTCAACCTTAGATGAATCTCCAGAAAATATTCTCAGCTAAAAAAGTTAATTCCAAAAGATTACATACCATCTAATTCCATTTACAGGACATTTTTGAATTGATAAAAAAATGTAGAAACAGACACTAAATTAGTTGCTGCTTGGGCTTAAGGAGAGCAGGTTGCAAGGGAATTGGGTATGACTATAAAAGCAACATGAATGATTTTGTGGTGATGGAAATGTTCTGTATTTTGTGTGTTTTATATTTTCTGTTTCAACATGCTGATTGAGACATTTCCCACAGTTTTTCAAGATGGTACCACTGGGGAAAACTTAAGTAAAGGATCTCTGTCTTATTTCTTATAATTATAGATATAAATATTTAACTATCTTAAAATAAAATGTTTAATTGACAATAAGTTCTACTGTAGACAAGACAATGAGAATATATTTAATTATAAATCTGTAGCAGTTCTCAATTATTTTTCTTTAGAGTATTTTATAAATAACCACTCATACTTGCTCCTCAACATTATTCTGATCAGACACAGTATTAATTCTCAGGAGAAAGTGAGGAGTAGGAAGAATATTTAGCAGAATGAACAAGCTGGTGATATTTTTGTCTTTTTCTTTCTTAGAACTTTGTATTTTGGATTCCTGTTGTTGTGTGAAGAAGTATGTGATGTGCCATTGATGTGTGCCAGGTTTTAAGCCTGTGTTTCTCAGCTCTGATTCCCCACTTATATCATCTCCTTTTTATGGCTGAGGTTGGGAGTGTGCACAACTTATTTTAGCTTTGGTAGCCATTTTCTTATTAGACGTCACCCACAAGGGGCGATCCAGGCAGGCTGCATATTGGTGGGGCAGGTATAGAGGATACACTTGGTTTTCACTGTTCACTTTCTGGTTGCTTTATGTTCTTTGAAATTATACCTTAAAATTTATTGCCATGGACAAGTACCACCAGTGCTACTTAAATGTGACACTTATCAGTACTTTTTCACTAGTCTGTGGTAGTTTATGAGGTATCAGTAGATGAATCTTGTTGAACCAAGATTTTAATCATATGATAAGCTGAATCAGCATTATCATGTTCCCTAAATAACATTGGCACATGACAGCAGATGCTTCTTCCCATGAACTAGGAGGTCTAATGGTTTCTGCTGTCTGGGCTGTTCCTCTGAGCCATAAATTTTAACAAGTCCAATCTTTTTTTATGTGTTCCCCAGCTCCAGGGATGGTACCTAATAATGTTTTTTCTTTTTTTTTTTTCCTGCCTTTTCTGTTCTTCAGAATCTATTTAATTTATTTTATAAATTATGTCTTTTAAAGTAACTAGAGTGCTTTCTACTTCCTTACTGTACTCCATCAAGGACAACACTATATTTATGTTTAAATTTAAGATGAACTCTGCATGACACATCAAATTGTTGTTTTTATTGGCCCATGGTCTATAAAATAACACACTACTGACCTTTTGTATTAATGTCGAGAATTATGCATACTTGAAGTGCCACAAATTTAATGCTGAGAGAAACTGGACTGGACAAAGCTGATCTTACCCTTAAGTGTGAGCCTCTCATTCCTCATTGGCCATTCTGTCTTTTCCTAATAGTTTTTTGAGAGCCCCCTTCATGTCCTTGTTTCTCAAGGTGTAGATGAGGGGGTTGAGAGTGGGGGTCACCACAGTATAGAAGAGACTCAGGAACTTCCCTCTATTCTGGGAAAATCGGCTCCGAGGCTGGATGTAGACTGCAGTGACGCTGCTGTAGAAGAGGAAGACAACGACCAGGTGGGAAGAACAGGTGCGAAAGGCCTTGCTCCTTCCCTCTTGGGACTGTATGGACAGCACTGCTTGGGTAATGTGTCCATAGGACACAAGGATGAGCACTAGTGGCACCATCAGGAAGATGGCGCCAATCACTGAGATCTGGAGTTCGTTGATATGTGTGTCTCCACAGGCCAGGCGGATTAATGCAGGAACTTCACATACAAAGTCATCCACCTGGTGGTGATGGCAGAAGGGCAGCTTCATTGTGGTAGGGGACTGCACCAAGGTACCAAAAATCCCACTCACCCAGACCAGGAGCACCAGCTTCTGACACAACTTTGGGTTCATAATTACCACATAGTGCAGAGGCCGACACACTGCTATGTAGCGGTCAAATGCCATGACCAAAAGCAGAATACATTCAGCAGCACCCAATCCCAGAAATATGTAGAGTTGAGTTGCACATCCTAGGTAGCTTATCGTTTTGTCTGGGCCCCAGAGGTTGACTAACATCTGTGGAATGCAGCTGGTGGTGAAGCAAAGGTCCAGGAGGGAGAGCTGGGTGAGGAAGAAGTACATGGGGGTGTGGAGATGAGAGTCTATGTGAGACAAAAGTATGATAGTGACATTGCCTACTAGGGTGATCATGTAAAAGATGGACACAACCACAAAGAGAGTAATTTCCAGCCTGGGGTTATCTGAGAAGCCCAGAAGGATGAAGCCCTCTGGGACAGTGTCATTGGCCATGTCCATCCAGACTGTCTTGGAACTGGGAAGAGAAGAGTAACATGCCAGGGAGTAAGTAGAGAAGAGTGGTTTTAGACTTTGGTAAAATACCAGATCATATATTACTGTTTTCTCTAACATTTTACTTATATTTATGTCACATACATCTTTTCTTGGATGTTCTTATTAATTTCTTCAGACTTAGATCATTTCAGCAAACTCCCACAGATAAGAATGTAGTTGATGAATGTTGTACACTAATCCTTGGTATTCTTTTGATAACAGTATTACTTGAAACTTCTCCCTTTTTCGTAGAATCTAGGCTATACTTCAGCTTCTGCTTAAGTGGTTTAAAGTTGAAATTTGCATTTTTCTAGTGCCATAAAAACTGTATTACTTCTGTATTCAACCTAAGGCGTGCCCACCTCTTTCTTAATGAGCAGCATTCTTCATCTACTGCTGGTCACTGAGCAGCATTTCCATTCGTTGGTAATAATGTCACCATAATTTCATAAATATATGGTGTTCTTTGTGACATTGCACTGCTAGGTGGTGTTCTATTGAATGCTGTGACAGAGGTTAGTAGCAAGCAGTCATTTAGCTTCTCTCTTCTTACATTGGGAAAAGTCTGTTCCAGTTGATCCTCCACTGTTGTTGTTGTTGTTATTTGCCGTCGAGTCAGCCCTGACTCATAGCGACCCCTCCTTGGGTTTTCAAGGCAGTGTCACTACGGAAGTAGGATTGCCCAACCTTCCTTCCGAGGAGTGGCTGGTGGGTTTGAACCTCCAGCCTTCTGGTTAGCAATCAAGTGCCTTAGGCACTCACTATGCTACCAGAGCTCCTGATCCTCCACTAGAAACTGTTAATTTAATAAATTTGCTCATCTCATGTTATTTTCTGAACTCTGTGGACTTGACTATGTTTTTCCTAATAATTCATGTCTGTGTATTTCAAAATTTCTTATGTTAATGAAAATCGAAATTCCCTCAGATAAATTTTCAAAATGTACATATATAGCCCTGGTGACTTTGTTACTTCTTTGGTGGTCACTCTGTGTGAGAATATCAGCCCTGTTACTGTTGGTAATTTGTTACTAATGGTCATGTGTGAGTTATCTGGATTGAAAAAAGAATCATACCCACTATTTTGTTCATTGAAAATCTTTCCTCTGTAACAAGCACTGGGTAATCCAATGGGATGTTTTCTGGACCTACTTGTTGTCAAAACCCTGAGACGCTGGATTTATGATACCTCACAAATTTGGTTCCTATTTTTGCCATTTACATTTTCTGTCTTTCAAATGTCTTGAAATGTAGTGTTGGTGGAAAATATTGAATGTACCAATGCCTGCTAGAAAAATAAACAAATCTATCTTGGAGGAAGTAGAGCCAGAATATTCCTTAGAAGCAAGAATGGCCAGACTTCACTTCCTGGATGTCACAAGATTGGACAGTGTTTTGTTTTGTTGTACATTGTGTTCCGATGAGTTGGAACTGACTTGATGGCAATTAGTAACAATAACAACTTTCAAATTGGATAAGCCTTTATAGTTCATGGAAAACATTACAACAACAACAACAACTATCTTAAAGAAATCAATAGTTAAAGACAGTGGAGAAGAATCGTGACTTCAGGTAAATCCTTACTGAGGGCAAATAAATAGCAGAGTAATAGCAAAGTTAATTGAGGTTAGGACTGTATCTCATACAGGCCTTGTGCAAATTACCTATTTTGGGGTGAGGTAACAAGTACTCTTTGTTGGATATTATGGACATTATGATACAGAGAAATAGAACAAGGGACATAGTGAAGTTGAGAATATCCTTTTCCCACCCCATGCTGCTCATTTATACGAAGTCCATACCTAAACTTTCTTTTCTGCTGTTGGCAATGCCCCCTGAATTCTTCTTTACTGCTCATTCTCACTGCAGCCAAAGTCCAGAACCTATCATGTTGGGATGCTTCAGCATCCTCTCTAGAATATATCCATTTTGTCATCTCTCTTTTTGGTCAAAGTCTTCTTTTATAGGCTATTGTCTTTGTTCTGCAGTGCTTTATAGCAGAAATACCACTAGTGGATGACTTAACAAACAGGAACTTTTCCTGTTACAGTTTAGGAGGCTAGAAGTCCCAAATTCAGAGTGCTGGCTAGAGGCTGGGTGAAGAGCTCTCAACCTTGGGCTTCAGCTCTTCCTGTTATTCTAGGCCCACTGGAGCTAGAGGCACATTCTAATTGAGGCAGATGTTGGGTGCTGAGGCTGATGAACCTAAGGTTGGTAGATAAAATGGCAAAGTGCCAAGATCAGCAGGCAACATGCCAGGTCACTAATTCAAGTCCAGGAACAATCTAAAGCTTGGCAGGCAACACAGATCCAAATGTGCCAAAAAGATAGAGAACTTTCTGAAAGCTTCTCCTTATGTATTGTAAGCAGGTCACATTCTAAAGGCAACTGCTTAGCTGCTCACAGCAGGTTCCACCATGGAGGTGATTCCAATCTCATCATGGGGAATCACTACATCCAGCTGCCTAGCCACTCAAAACTACTGCTAAGGCAAGTTGACACACAACCTTAACTACCACTGCTGTCTTTGCAGAATGTAAATTTAAAATAATTAGTTTAACACTCATATTTAAGTTCCCCATTTTCCACCAACAAGATCTAATGATCTTCAGTTAGCTTTGAACTTGTGAACTCTCCTCCAGACACAGGATCTGCTGACATCAATTTCTCTTTAGCAATAATTTTCTTGATTCACTTAATTTGTGTTCTTATGTGGCTCCATGTTTTTTGTTTTTCAATCTAATGATGATATTGATAAATGCCCTTCATTTCTGCAAAGAGTAGGAGACGTTATGATATTTGAGTTCTAGTGGCACTTTACTTCTAAATTCCATGAAAAAGCTTGATTTTTGCCCATCATCATTCATTTATTTGAAATATTTGTTTTAGTCTGTATCATTTAATATTCCACATTTCCAGAAAAAGGGACTCTGTTTTAGTTCTAGGATTGTATTATTCTTTAAACACTGATCATTCCATTCCAAGTTCAGGAATGGTCATCTTTATTGGTGCTTTAACAGTTTTTACATTATAGCATATCTCCAATTAGATGTATTTGTTTAAAAGTGATGGCCTTTCTCTACTCCTAAATAATTTGCATAACTACTGTGACCTTTTCAATGCAAATTTCAGACATTCACACATCAGGTTAGTAAAAGTCTTTGAAATCCCAAGAATTTAGAATTTTTGTTTGTTTTGGTTTGCTTTATTATACCAGCATCCGTATTTTAACAACATTCGTGTTTGTCTCACAGTATACTTGGGGTGTGGAAATACATATGTACATATATATATATGTTGTTGTTGTTGTTGTTTGCCGTCGAGTCAGCCCCGACTCATAGCGACCCCTCCTTGGGTTTCCGAGGCAGTATCACT